TTCCATAGTGACATCAGTTGAACCACAAGTGGGATGACAGCTCCAGATACTATTTAACTTTCTTTTTTCTAAAAACCTCACCACCATTAATTAAGTTTCACTACGACTTAAAAAAAAAAAAGTAAAAATGAATAAATCAAGAGTGCTATGATCACAAGTCTTAATTTTCACTCTACTGGGATCCATAACCATGGGATATTTGCTGCTGTACCTCCAACCCCATTAGTGAAAGCATTCTGGGAGAGTTTTAACTAACCAAGGGGGTACCTACTTCCCGCTGTCCTATCCATCAAAAGAGCAGCAATGTCTATGGTGATGGTATCTGGTCCTAAATAACCTTTAGAACAAAAACCCAAAGCATCTGGCTAAGATGAGTGGGCTTCGTTGTTGATTTTTTTCAAAGAGAACAAAATGGATGGCATGTATGGTAATTAGTACAGCACTGCTCTACAAGAAAATGTAGAAAGCTGTGTGGTAGCAGGTATAACAAAGAAGAATTAACAGGGGAATTTGCAGCTGGTTCCACAGTATAAGTGCATTACATTAACATTGAAATCTATGGCTCTGGACCTTAATACCTTGCAGGCACCTCTGACCTTTGTCAGCTCACACTTCTCTGTGGGACCATTCTCAAGAAGAGTTTCCAAGAGCAGATAATAAAATTTAGGCTACAGAAATGAATGTGAAAAACACATTTCAAGGACTGTAGGCAAAGCTGGCCTCTGCAAACCATCCTGCTACACAGCAATCAATCCTGAGCAGCAACAAACAATACCGTACTGGGAAATTCACCACACAAATTGTTTTTAAAAATGCCAAGAAACCTCAATGTGCTATCAGATCAGAGGCAAGCAGAAAGGATCCACCAGAGCCGCCGGCGCTCCCGTAGCACCACATTGCAACGTCAGCATTGGTTATGAGCCAAAGGCCTTCAGGCTTGCTTGTTGCCTGGAGGATATAAATGAAAGTCAGCAGGTGCAAAGGTGCAAGAAGTGCAGAATTGCATCACATCTCTCCAAACTGTGTTTATGCAGTAAATGAGACTCATTTCTTTCCACACTGAATTGAGACCATTTTTATTTTCTTTGGCTTATGAATGCTCTTAGTTCAATTTTCACGTGTGTTCTCCATGGTACCTTGGGATGCCTGAGGTGATTTATAAATGTGTGTAGAGACCAGGTGTATTGCCAGATGTTTATGTCCCTTTACAACAAGGCTTCACGATCCCTTCCAGTGCAAGGCCCATCCTATATTATTTTTTCTAATAGAGCATCAACTGGACTACAAGGTATTTATGAGTTTTCCCAGTGTAGGATTTTTTCTTAATTCACTTATCTATCATCTCATTTCTATATTTAAAATAACGCTAAGTCTTTAAACCTCTCTAAGTACTCTTTAAAATTAGAGTTCCTTTCACGTAAAAAAAAATCGCAAAGAAATGTCAACAGTTCCAGGTTTAAATGAATGAAGCTTGACTCACTGCCAAAAAGATTTTTAATCTCAAAGTGTTACCTACATTGACTTCTTTTCTGTTTCACTTCATCACCTATTTAGGAATTGTAAAAATTGTTTTATTATTATAATAGTTGGATAAATTGCAACTGCAGACCACTCTCTTAAATACAACATAACTGTAGTAAGAAATAGTCCATAGCCCTGAAGGTGAGTCACTCTGAGGAGGCAAAAAGGACAGTGATTTCTCCAAGGTCGTATTGTCAAGGGATAGAATGGAAAAGAGAAAACAACCAGATTTAATTAGTAATTGGCACCGTAAATAGTAAGTGAAGAGCAATAAGATTTTTCTCAGTATGTCTTAAAACATAAAAATGTAAGTTTATGTGTGTGAGGAGGCAAGTGGACCAAAAATATAAACAATAACGTCCCATGAAATTTTGTTTTTAAAGTATTTTGTAATTCTAGCTGCTGTCAAAGTCTATAAAGACCCGCAAAAGTCTACTTGTTAAATATCTACTTTAGCAAATAAATTCTTTGATTTTTTCACATTCAGCAGCCTCCTTTTTCCCCAGTTTTGTATCGTGAGAATGACAAATCTGCCTCCCTCAGTAAAGCTGCACTTGTATAAGTAAGTATACATAAAATGAGGTCTTCCTAACAGACCCCAAGAAGTTGGTGATGTAGGAAGGAGGAAGGGTGCAGTTTGCAGAACTAGGACAACATAGTTAATGTAATCATTTCAGGCGCAATCACTGACAGTTCAAACATCCATAACTGCGTAAGTTATTTGTATGCTTTGTATTAAAAAAATCTGTAGAGCTATTTTCAGCGGTACTTCCAATAAAATTCTTTTGAAATGTGTTTTGGGAATTTAAAGAAAAAAATGTTGTCAGAAAGACGGTCAAGAAATGACGGGCAGCAGGGAACGGAGTACTGATTTTTCTCGGATGAAGTGATTATTAGCACTGAGGACACAATCAGGAAAACACGAAGAGTCAGCATCTTGGCTGCTGCATCTTGAAGACGAGGGCAAAGCCCCGCTGAGTTTGAGGAACATGTTACCAATGGAAGGAAAAAAACCACCAACAGCTTAAGCATGGCATCGTGTCACTAAGACGAACGGAAAACACGACGAGGTAAATGATTAGAAAAACAATGTCAGGTGTGCATGAGCACTCAGTTTACCAAAGGACAGAGATAAAGGTGTTTTTGTGCGTAATGTTTTATTTATTTGTGCAATCCTGGAGGCAGGCTGCGTGACACCGGCAGCAGCGCTGTCAAACACGTTAGGCACAGCCAGACCTCGCCGCGCCTCCTCAGAGCGGCTTCAGGCTGCTGAAGGGCAGGCACTAAACGCACGCCTTGCTCCTGCGGCCGCTCCATCGGTTCTCGTTACTCACACCCGAGTTACTTCGCCCCACGCCCCGAGCGAGCCCCTGCCGGCGGTGCTCGCTCCCTCCAGGCGACCCGCCGAGGCCAACCGCGCACCCTGACCGCAGGGCACAGCCCCCGCTGCCCAGGACCTCCACCGGCCCCTCCAGCCGGGGGTTCCCCGGGACCGCCCACAGCCCCCCGGGTCCCGCTGCCCTCAGGTACGGCGGTGCCCGCGGCCGCCATTTTGTGTCCCGGCCGCCCCCCGCCCCCGCAGGTGCCCCCCGGCCGCCCCGCCCCGCCCCCTCCCCTCGGGGCAAGCGGCGCGAGGCCGCGGCCCGCGCGCGCCCTCCCGCGCTCGCCCCGCCCCCTGAGCCGGCCCCGCCCCTCGCTCGCTGTCTCGCCACGCCCCCTCCTCCCCGCCGCCGGGGCCCCGCCTCCTTCCGCCTCTCCTCCCTGCGGGCCGCCGATTGGCCGCGCCGCCGCCGGCCTCCGCCACTCAGCGCCCGCCGCCGCCCGTCACTCAGCGGCGGGGCCGGGCGCTCATTGGCCGCGGCGGCGGGGCGGGCGGGGCGCGCTGTCAGCCGGGCCGTCACTCAGTCAGTCGGGCGGGCGGGCGGGCGGGCAGGGAGCGGGGTCCGCGCGCGGAGCGGGGCGGGGCGGCGGGGGAACATCTGGCTGCCGCCGCCGGGCCCGGCTGTGCCGCCGCCGCCGCCGCCGTGCGTGTGCGTGCGCCCGGCGCCCCCGCCCGCCCCGCCGCCGGCCCCCGCCCCTCCCTCCCCTCCCTCCCTCCCCTCCCCTCCCCCGCGGCCGGCCCCGGCCGGCGGTGCCATGGGGAGCCGCTGAGCGCGGGGCCCGCTCCGCTCCGCTCCGCTCGCGGCCGCCAGGGGGGAGCCCGGGGGGCGGCAGCGGGCGGGCGGCCGGGGGGGGCTGAGGCGCCTCCCGCGGCGCCGAGCGAGCCCCGAGGAGCCGGCGGGCGGCGGCGGCGGCGGCAGCGCGGGGACTTCGGGGCCGCCGCCGAGTGTGAGTCCCGCCGCCCCCAGCCCCGACACGGGCCGCGACCGGGGAGGGGGGCGGGCGGGCGGGGGCGCTCCGCTGCTGCCGCCGCCAGCGGGGCACCGAGCGGGGAGCCCCGGGGCCGGCCCCGCTGCAAAGTTGCCGCCGGGGATGCGGGGACCCCCCCCAACCCCCCCCCGTTACCCCCGTTCAAGTTCTCGGGGCGCCGCCGGGAGCGGGGGGGGGGCTCCGGGGCGCCCCCGGGGCTCGGCTCGGGGCGGGGGGGGGAGCCCCGGGGCCGCTGCCCGCCCCGCACAGCCGGCACGGAGCGGAGCGGGGCTGCGGAGACGGCAGAGCCCCATATGTTTAGGATTTTCTTCCCTCTCGCTCGCTCTCTCTCTCTCTCCCTCTTTTTTTTTTTTTTTTTTTTTTTCTTCTTCTCTCCCCCTGTTAGAAAGTTTGAAAAAAAAAAAGAGACTTTGAAGTATTTTGTTTATACTAACAGAAGAGAAAAGTTCTCCTAAGAAAAAGCTGGTGGCAGGAGTGTAGAGGAGTAGCATATGGCATTAAAAGGAGCACAGCTGGAGGTAGCATTTCCATCTGAACATGATGTCAGAGCAGCTGACAGCCTGCCATCCCTCAGCCTTTTATTCTAACACACAGACAGGGAGTTAGTGTGTGCAGATCTGTGTGTGGAGAAGGTATCTCATTCCTCTCTAACATCATCTCCACTTTGCATCTGTCTCTCCTAGTCTGCTTTTTTTCCACCGATCTAACAGACCTGGAGCCAGCAAGACTCAGAGGAAAGGACTTAATCAGGTTTATGTGTACTAAAGGTAGGAGTAGCAATAGATTAGATACAGCATATTTCTGTTTTGGTGTGTTGTTTATTGAATTTCAGGAAAAAATCACATTACTTTTCTAACCAAGTTTAGAGGTAATATATGAAATCGAGTATTAAATAGATAAGTGGACTTAGTCGAAAAGGCTTGGGCTCTAGTTTGAGAGTATCAGTTCTGATGCACGTTGATAGAATTAACTTTAATGCATGTCGTGAGAAGAAAATTTCTGGTTTTAGGACGTGGCGAGAGCAAGTCCGGGCTTAATTTCTGGAGACCAAAAACCGAAATGTATTTAGTGGCGAGCCTAATGAGAGTTCTGGTTTGTATTTTTGTGTTGCATCTTTAAATCGACTTTATGGGGGGTTTTGGTGAAGCGTACGCCAGCGTGCTTTTTTAAAAAGAACCGTGCTAACTCAAATGTGTTTGTTGTGCAGTCTTTCATTAAACTTCGTGGTTAAATATCCAGCAGCCCAGAACTGTAGTAGCATACAGCTGTAGTGCTTCTGAAAGATAGAAATCAGTTATGTGTTTAAAAACTTTTGTACCCAGGAGAATAGCTCGACTGGCTTCCTCTTTTCTTTCCCGCATGTAGTATTTGAGATCTTTTATTCCAGCGTAACAATAATTATTTGAAGGAGTTTTTGTATTTGCGACTAATTTAGAACTTGTAGATTTGAGCTGCCTGAATTGGCCAGACAGCTGTAATCGCACTCCTCTATTCTTAATCTCTTTATCTGGGCAGCAGCTGCCATATGGCCACAGTCAGCTGGATCAGATGTTTATAAGCTTCCTTCTTCGTCCCTCTCTGTCCTTTCAGCCTCCTAATTTGATCACAGCTACCTTGTGAGCTGCCCTCCAATCTTTATTTTTAGCCCTCTTAAGGATTAGGATTGATGTTGGCTGTGGGGCACTTAAAGTGATTGTATTGTAAATCTTCGTGCTTTACTCTAGCGATGGTATTTTTCAGAATATAGTAGGGGTTGTGCTGCAAGTTTTAGTACGCCTTGCTTTGCCGGCGATGACTATTTTTCAATAATATCTGCCAGCCTCGAGATCCACGATCTGTCTGGATGGTTTGGGAGAGCGTTGCCATCAGTCACAGAAGAATAGATTGAGACAGGTTTTGAGAGATTTTACTTTCTGTTTGAGTTTTGACTTCTCTACTTCTTTGAAGTGTGTTTTGGTTTTTGTTTTTTTTTTTTTTATCGTCAAGGAGGGTGAATAGAAAAATACTTGGCTAAGAGCAGTGCTCAGGATACTCGTTTTAAATGTGCACACACACTCGTGCTGAATGACTTTTTTTTTTTTTTAAGTTTGGTACTGCAGACTGGCTGGTGTGGGAGGGGAGGGAAATTTCTGTCCTTCTGCATAGGGGAAGCGATGCTCATTGGCATTTTAGTTGACAGTTTTCTTTTTCTTTTGTAAATTCTGCATATTAGCAAAAAATGTTTATGTTCTATTGTACAGTATGGAGAAGGTTCAAAACCTGAAACTGTACCTACCAGGAGAACAAAACAATGCAAACTTAAATTTCTAAAAATTTAATTTTTATATTTTTTTCTATCGATAAATATTATTTACCCTTGTCAATCTATGTTCTTTATAAATGTTAGACTTTCAGATTTGGGTACATTAACATTTCTTCGTGCTCAGGACTCTCTTGTTACTGCAATTTGACTTTAAAAAGAATACTGATGGTCTGATTTTCTCTTTTTCCCCCACTCTGTGATCTCTCGAACTTGGTGTTAATTTTTTTTTTTATTTTTTATTTTTTTTGATTTGCCCTTCTAGGGACTCAACCTGGAGGAAGTTCCCTGGAAAAATAACTGTTGAACAGATTTTATGAACAACCGTGCTACTTTAAAAAAAAAATAGATATATATAATAATGCAGCTGAGTGCTTATTAGAATAGCATCTTCCCCTCTGAGAGGAAGGCATGACTTCAGTGGTTGATGGGAGAGGGTGGCCAGTGTGCGTACGCGTTAAATAATCTTTGCGTAGGGGCAGCGCTAGGATTCTGGCAATATAAATGCCAGGCGTTTGGAGTGGAGTAACTTGGATTCGTGAGTTCTGTTGTTCTGACCTACATGTAATTTTTTAAAATCTCGTTGCTTATAGGTTATGAAGACAGCATGGAGTTTCCTGACCACAGTAGACATTTGCTACAGTGTCTGAGTGAGCAGAGACATCAGGGTTTCCTTTGTGATTGCACTGTTCTGGTAGGAGATGCCCAGTTCCGAGCGCACAGAGCTGTACTGGCTTCATGCAGCATGTATTTCCACCTCTTTTACAAGGACCAGCTGGACAAAAGAGACATTGTTCATCTGAACAGCGACATTGTTACAGCCCCAGCTTTCGCTCTCCTGCTTGAATTCATGTACGAAGGAAAACTCCAGTTCAAAGACTTGCCCATTGAAGACGTGCTTGCAGCTGCCAGTTATCTCCACATGTATGACATTGTCAAAGTCTGCAAAAAGAAGCTGAAAGAGAAAGCAACCACGGAGGCAGACAGTACAAAAAAGGAGGAAGACGCCTCAAGTTGCTCAGACAAAGTGGAGAGCCTCTCCGACGGCAGCAGCCACATGCCAGGAGACTTGCCCAGCGATGAAGATGAAGGAGAAGATGAAAAATTGAACATCCTGCCTAGCAAAAGGGACTTGGCGGCTGAGCCTGGGAACATGTGGATGAGATTGCCCTCAGACTCAGCAGGCATTCCCCAGACTGGCGGAGAGGCAGAGACACACGCAACGGCAGCTGGAAAAACAGTAGCCAGCCCCTGCAGCTCAACAGAGTCTTTGTCCCAGAGGTCTGTCACCTCCGTGAGGGATTCAGCAGATGTTGACTGCGTGCTGGACCTGTCTGTCAAGTCCAGCCTTTCAGGAGTTGAAAATCTGAACAGTTCTTATTTCTCTTCGCAGGACATGCTTAGAAGCAGCCTGGTTCAGGTGAAGGTGGAGAAAGAGGCTTCCTGTGATGAGAGTGATGTTGGCACTAATGACTATGATATGGAACATAGCACTGTGAAAGAAAGTGTGAGCACTAATAACAGGGTACAGTACGAGCCGACCCATCTGGCTCCAATGAGGGAAGATTCGGTCTTGAGGGAGCTAGATAGAGAGGACAAGGCAAGTGATGATGAAATGATAACTCCAGAGAATGAGCGAGTCCAGGTGGAAGGAAACATGGACAGCAGCTTGCTCCCTTATGTGTCAAACATACTTAGCCCCGCTGGCCAAATTTTTATGTGTCCTCTCTGCAACAAGGTCTTTCCCAGTCCCCACATCCTGCAGATCCATTTAAGCACGCACTTTCGAGAGCAGGACGGGATCCGCAGCAAGCCTGCTACTGATGTCAATGTCCCCACCTGCTCGCTGTGTGGTAAGACTTTTTCTTGCATGTACACCTTGAAACGTCATGAGAGGACTCATTCAGGTGAAAAGCCCTACACTTGCACCCAGTGTGGGAAGAGCTTCCAGTACTCCCACAACCTGAGCCGCCACGCAGTGGTTCACACACGGGAGAAGCCACATGCTTGTAAGTGGTGTGAACGCAGGTTCACGCAGTCCGGAGACCTTTACAGACACATTCGGAAGTTTCACTGTGAGTTGGTGAACTCATTGTCTGTCAAAAGCGAAGCACTGAGCTTACCTACTGTCAGAGACTGGACCTTAGAAGATAGCTCACAAGAACTTTGGAAATAAAATTTTTATATATATAAATAATATATATATAAATCTATATAGTTGTGGTACAGTCTAAAAGCAATCTTGTTTCCTTGAACTGAAAGTTTGGCTATTAGCTTGTTTTTGCACTTTAAGGCAGCATGAATATTTCACTAATTTAGCACTCTGATAAAAACCGAACTTTAGAGGTGACATGACAAAGTAATAAACAACGGAGCGTATTTTTTCCCCCTTTTTGGAATAGAAGCCAGTGGATACTTTAGTTTTAAAGAATCTCCAATTCCAAAATGTTGGCTTGGCTTTGTTCTCCCCAAAACACTGCGTTATTTTGAGCTCTAGATACTTTTCCTTTCAAAATCTGAATGTAGAAATCCTCTCCCAATTATATCAGTTCCTTTACATTTCTCTAATTGCATGAGTCCTTTCTAGCTGTTGGAAACCTGAATGCTTTTAGACCCAAATGGAAAATTTCTGAAATGCTGGATTATCTATTTTTAAACAAGCGGTTGACTTAAAACTTATTACGGCAACTTCTGGATTTCTGACAGTTCCCACTGGAAAAAAAACAAAAACACAAAACAAAAACCCTGAGAGTACACTGGGATCACTGGGACTCTGTCTTATGTGAAGGTTTGCTTGGGATGAAAAAGGATATTGCAGCTTCAGCAGTGATGAACTGTGTGTTTAAAAAATGTGAATTACTGTTATTGTATACTGTAATTGATTACATGGGCCGGGGGGAGGTATCAAAGAACTTGGCAGGTTGTGTTGATGCTCTTAGTTGAGTCTTGAAAAGTAAATATTAACGCTACAGAAATGCATGAGTTTCAGTATATTTTTGTCTTTGTTTGCATTGTATAACTTTAATGAGTGAGTTTAAAATTATTTAATTTCCTTAGGAAAAGGCACCGTTGAAAATGCCGGTGTTATGAAGAACATAAATGCACTGTTTTTATTTTATATAATTTAAATTTTCTTTCCCACTGTCTTTCAGTTGAGACAAACTTAAGCTACGAGTTGACAATTTAGCTACATAACAAGGAAAATATGAATGTTTACAAACAGGCTTAAAGATTTGCATGTGCAGTGTGCATTCATTAAAAGAAAACCTTCTAATTGCACAAACCCCACGCCAGCTCAAACTTTAGGTGCATACATTTACCCAGATGAGCATTTTTAGGATTCCTGCTGCACACATCCACAATAGGTCATTCTTTTTCCCCCCTTGAAAAGGGTCTGTGGACTGAAAAAGCCCCGGGCTGAAAGGACTGGAAAGCCCTGATTGACGGGGGGGCCGGGGGGAGGGTAGAGGGCTCTGTGTATCCAAGCAGCAGAGACTGCAGCCTGACGTGTGGTTTTAATGACCAACACGCAGGTCAAAAGCATTTTGCACAGTGTTTGTTTTCCTGTCTTGCACTTACAAATAAGGTCTATGGGAGTAGCATGGAAAACGTTTGCTGTTTTTCCTTTTTTTTTCCGCTTTTGTTTAAAATTTGATCGCCTTAACTACTGTAAACATAGCCTATTTTTGTGCTTAAGATACTGAATGGAAAACTCCATTGTGTATTGCTGGACTGTTTTGGAAATATTTGGTCAAATGTGTGTTAATTTGGCTGTAATGGCATTTAAAACAAAAAAAAAAAAAGCTGTGAAAATGGCCTTGGAGCGTTATCTTTAGTTACTTGAATAGTTTCTAGGTTTAAAAATACATTCTTTTATTAATTTAGAGAAGACAATCAGTGTCTGAGAAAAATGGACTTTCTCTTGGATTTTTTTGTGGTCCTTGTGAGTGATTGCTTTTTTCCTTTTATTAGTTTCACATTCTTCTTTTGTTCTAAAACTTAGACTGACATCTAGCTTTGACAATCATAGTATGTTTTATTTTCCTGAGGGGGGAATAACTTATAATGCTGTTTAGTTTTGTACTATTGGTGTGTTGGTGAATTTTTAAACTGTGTGCTAACTGCAATAAATTATATGAACTGAGAAATCAATTCCCTTGTCTTTTTTCCCTCTTTTAAATTATAGTTACGGAGTATTTTTTATAATGTGTAACTTTATTACTTTTGTACAGACTTCTATTGCTAACTGTGTATGGAATATGTTTTCAGTATGCTTTTGAGCACTTTGTTGCTAACGTACATATTTACATCTCACTTAACATTTAAAAAAAAAAAAAATTAAATGCTTGTGTTTTGAAAGCATTTCTGTGTGTGTAGCTCTCTATCATTCTGTAGAGGGATTTTTGCTTTTTTCCCCCAAAGACTTCTGCAGAAGCCATCTATTCAATTCCAGAAATTTTCATTCCACGCAAATTTCTCTAAAGACACAAAATTCCTTTTCTGGGCTAAATTTCGCCCCAAGTAGGTCTCTCGGGCTCACCCTTTTGTATTTTCTTTCTATCAGGAGAGTAGAGCAGGAGGAAACAACTTAATCTGAAGTACTGCTCGGGTAGGGACTGCCAGTCTACGTTACAGAGCAAGCAGCAGTCAAAATGTCCAAAATACCGGCAATCCATCAAAACTGTCTAGATTACAAAGGAAAATTAGAATAATCCTACAACTGTTTGTGAATTTCTCTTACAGACTAAACCTTTATTATTATTATTATTAAGTAAAGCATAGTGAAACCTTCGTAAAAGGCATTTTGGAGTTTGTTTTTTTTTTTTTTTTGCAGGATATACCCAGAATTCTTTAACAAAATTGTTCCCTCCTAGGGATGAAACCAGCCCTGCAAAGCCCAATGGGAATACAAAAGTAGTGCTAAATTAGAAGTCTGTAGCAGTGACGGCAGTGTGAATTTGAAGGGGAAAAAATCTGATTTTAAACATTTCGTTACATTTGTCATCTGCCTAGGTACATCTTCAGTTTTTGTACCTTGACCAAATGAATCTCGTGACCTAACGCTATCCTGCTTATCTTCCCACGTTTACAGTAACTGGTGCTTATCCAAAATGACCTTTTTCACTCTTTTTGGTTCTTTATAATAATTTTCAAAGCATCTTTTATTTTTTAATAAAGTGGGTTATTTTGGATATTTTGGAAACATTTCCTTCTGTAAGTGTTAATATCCTTGGCCGTGTAGTTTCCTCATTTTCTACCAGCAAACCTGTTCTGCAGTCCAGGCTTGCATGCAATAGAGTAGTGTGTGTAGTTAAAACAGTTTAAAGAATCCTCAAGACTGGAAAAACCCTAACAGCGGAGTTCTGAAATGCATACGGATGATGAGCTTTAGATGTGGCTCTAGGCAGATTTGCCATTTGTTCTAGAGCAATAAGGTTTTTAAGAATCGCAGGATCACGAATGAGGCTAGACTCAGAAGGAGCCCTTCTTCAGAAGGGTAACAGAAAACATAACTCAGCCATTAACGACAAAATAATTCAAAATACACTTCGTACATTCGGGTTTTATCTAGACGGTATATACATGTGCAGCACATACTTGCTTGTGGCTATCAAAGTGTTTCTTCAATGAAAAGATGAAACATACTTCTGTGTGCCGCTTCTCTCCATAAGGTCTAACGTACTGACATATCTAAATAGCTGTAACCTTTTTTTTTCTTTTTTCTTTTTCTTTTTTTTTTTTTTTTAATATAGCCCCTAGACAGTGAATGATGAGAGAATGCTTTATTTGGCTTGGGGATGTGTGGTAACAAAACCCTTACTCTTCATATTGCCATTATGGTCTAAGGCAAACTGCGAGGATGGAGAGTATGCCGCGAACTTCAGAGGTTCAGAAGACTTTCTCTGGCCACTGCCCGCTGTTACTTTTTAATTGCACGTATTTGTAGCCTAAGACTCTCGGGGAATACACTAAATATATCAGTCAGGTACTTTTTTAACCATTGCCTGTGTTAACTTACTGTTCTCTAGTTATGCATGATTTCTCTAAACTCAGGCTTAGGGGGTTGGTGTAGGAGAGAATTTTCAATCAGGCGTGGTATTCTCTACGCCCCGTATTTAATAAGACCATCGCGTGCTTTGGGTGAAATTTAAAGAACTTGGCGGGAGTTTAAAACACAACTTTCAGGTCAATGAACGGAAGGGATCGCCAGTGATTCTCCTGCTCCCAGCTGTTGAGGAAAAAGCGAAGACCAAGCAATTCCAGGTATATTCAGAATGAGAATAATTCCATTTGAAAGCCTAAACACGCTTTTAAAATTAATTTTGGAAACCGGCGATTGCTTTTCCCCGCTCTGCTGCCTCACCCCGGCAGCTGCGCTCGCTCACCTGCCCAGGCAGCACACCGAGGTTGACTTTCCTCTGCCGAATTGTGCCTTCTGCTTTGCTGGTATGGACAGCGGGTATGGCGGGGTCTCAGCACTGCATCGACTTTTTCTTTTTCCTCATTAAAGCTGGCTTCTACAATAACAACGTATTCTAACTCTTTCATGGACTTTTCAGGCATCATAACTTGTAAAATACATTTTCCCAGAGTAGTTTCTAAAATTGAAGCCCTGACCCCCTTTTTACAGTCAACAAAGCTGCAGCGATTTATGGCCGAGGAAGATTTGGAAGGGGAGAACATTTCTACATGCTGCTTCTTTTCCTATCGAAGCACCGTAAATTCCTTCCGAGTTAAAGTGAACTGCATTTCGGGTCTGCACAAGTACACTAACACTGGAAAGCAGTCCAAGATATTATAATGCAGTCCTACGTAGCAGTGTTCGCAAACTTATATATTATTAACACTATCTGTCCACCTGATTTTGAAACAGAAATGTTTCCAGGGAGTATGATCTTTTATTACAGAAAGGTAACAAAAGCAGTAAGATTTATTTTATTTTAGTGGGATTCTAAATGTGAATTTTAACAGAACCGCTCGCTATTTTTAAAAGGAGGAAAAAACAAAACGCAAATGTTCTGGGCTCTTTCAAAATATTCTGCTTTTTTTTTAGTGATTTTTTATTTAATTCTTGATGCTCTCCAGTCATATTTTAATCATGTCATTAAATATAGTGAACTTGGCAATAAATATTATTTTCTATTTGGTAAAAGAGAAGTTCTTTCTAGGTTGTATTCGTAAGGGTGCCTTTGAGTAGAAGGTGTAAATGTTAGCTTTTTTCGGCAAATTAAAAACCTCCTAGGAATAAGAACACTGCTTGTTAAAGCCTGGAGCCAGGAGCTCATTCTGGTGTGATAAAATTTAGCTAAACCTGGTAACGGGTGGTACTGATGAGAGTATACACACTTTTCAGAAATACTATCTGTTTTATTATTGTAAGCTAAAAAAAGAGAGTACTTTTAGCTGATCGTAGAGTCTTGATGTTCTCCGAGAAAACTATACAAAGCATGCCTGTCTCCATCAACGTCCGAGAGGCGTCCGGCTTCCCGTAGAGCGAGGCTCGGATGAAACCAAAGGTGAGGTAGGCTTAGCTGTGACAGTGATGGCATATGCTGCAGAGATTGCAAGCGATAGAAATGTTTCCAGAAAAAGGTGGGTTTTATTTTTTTTTTTTATTTTTATTTTTTAATATTTGACCGGGTATATTTCTCTTACATTGGAATTCCTGAATTCCTTGGGTTAGTGGATTTTATTGACTATCAGAACTTGATTCAGTCATATGCTTGAAATCTTAAGGTTCATTTCAGTTTCATTTAGTTCTCTTATTTATTTTTTTTCCTAGCAAGACGACTGCTACTCTGAAACACCATATTCGTTGTGCAGAAATTATGGAATTGCTGTTCCCAATAAGTCCTTGTCATTAACCCTTCGCAAGAAAACCCCTACCTCGGTGGGGCAGGATTTGTGGTTCTTGCACCACCCCTGCCAGCGTTGGGCCACATGTTTTTTTGCATACTTTTATTTCTGAGATTTTACAGCCAAGCTGTAACAAGCCTTGGCTTGGGGCTATAAAATAGAGCTCATGCAGCCTAGCCTTGGAGCTGAAATTTCAAGTTGATTTGGGATTTTTGGGATTGCAGGAAATAAATAAAAGATTAATTACAAGATGGAGCTAGTGGTTATTTTATAGGAAATTTTAATGTACAGTGTTCTGCAATTTCTTAAACTCAGGGCTGGGCTTTACAATGCAGACTGTATATGAACATGTGTGTGTGAGAGGAAGTGCTTTAAAATAACTTGCTAATTTTTCTTTAGGTGTGCTTTGAAATCACATTCTCAGTTATTCCTTGAAGATTTTTGGGAGACGTGTTTCGTGCTCATATGCGGCAGCCAACGTGACGTTGCGTTGCATGACCTATTGCTTGTCGTTCTTCCAGTTATCAGCGCTAATCTGAACACCAGGAGGGATTTTTCAGACACGGGGGGAGCACGCCAGCTCTGGATGCACACAGCACATCACCAGCCGCTACAGCCCAGTGCACGAAACCCGGCTCTAAATCAGTAAAATATTTTGGGAGCGAGCTACATGTGCATCATGACTTCCGAAAGGATTTAACTGGTAATGCAATATGTTACTGCCTTAGTGCTGCAGTAGGTAAATTAAAGGGCTAAACTGTCTCCAAACAGCTATATGGCGTGTTATAAGCTGTATCTTGATGTAAAGATAGAGATGGGTTTAAATATTTCTTTCACAACCTTCCTGAAATACATTTTGGTTAAGTTTTATTTACAGCTATTAAGAAAATAAAAACTACCCTCAATGCTACATTTTAGGCTTTTGTAAAATTGTCTTCAATTTTAGCATTAAATCTACTTTTTATAAACTTTTGGATGTGAGCCCAAAATACATTTTACAATTTTAAAAATGTACTTTACCTATAAATAAACCCCCTTGAAACTGATAGAGGTTTATCATATAAGACATGATTTATTTTCAACTGCATTTGCTCATGCTTAGTGAGGATTCATGTCGAGATAATTTTGGAAATTCATTCCGAGATAAAATACTGTTAAAATCTTAATGAAACATATCCAGTTTCCATAGGGTATTGCTACCAGGTCTTCATTTTCTGTAGCTTGTTCTCTATTTTTTAAAGTAGTTTGACTGGCAGTGTGTATCCAGAATCTGATTTCTGCTCCTAGATGGTTTT